GTCCAACAGATGGTGACACTTTCGCCTGCGCCACCACTTGCTGGATTTCTTTCGTTCTGTGCTATCCAGATTGATGCGATGTCCTTCCATTCCATTAAAAAAGGGACTAAATTACTGCTATATGGGCAAATACGCGACTCATTGAATAAGGCGAGAATGCCGACGGGAGTTCTAAATAGCTTACCATGCACCAGCTCATTCATTTCATTTTTTTTATAATGACATGATACCTTCAAAATTTAGTCATTAATGAAGATCAGAGAGCAACTCATTGTTAGAAAGTTGCAATTACCTATTAGTACACAGTCTCCACGATTCATTTACAAGATGAAATGAAATAAATTTTCTGGGATTAGAGTCAGTTGGCATCGTTGGGTGTCCAATCGTTATCTATATATGCTTCGAAAAATTGAATAATTTGGAGCCCTTGCCCTATTGGTAAAAGGTTGACAAGCGAAGCTTAGAGCGTGCGTGCGTTGGTTGATTAACACAGCTATCACTCATACACTTGTCGCCTTCACGATCAATAGAATAGGTTTGAAGAAGTTTCTGAGCAGCTAATGTAATTAACTAATGACAGCTAACATATATGATCATCGTTCCCAGTTTGTAACCCTTATCTTTGTGTATGATTGTGGTGCCGAGAGTCGTCCGGGTCTAGCAATTCGAGCTGATGTTTAGTGGTGAGTGATGCAAACACGTCATTATTTTCTTACGAAGTTTCGTACCTTTCGCCTTCTTTTCTAGGCTTGAGAAATAGAAATAATTCGGTCCTTACCTTTTCATTTAACGTTAATAGGCTAACCGTAGATGTCATTACTAGTTCGTACATTTGACTCCAAACTGAGGATCATTGTGGACTTCTATATCTGTTTACCAGAGCTTTAACTAATACTCCCAAATGCCAATAAAATAGGATACAGTCTTAAAGGCAGCACCTGTGTTAGCAGTTACAAACTTTTCGCCTTTAATTTTCATGCACTCAAACCACCCGCGACGTGTACGCTCAACGTAACAACACATAGATTTGCCGATAGTTCGCAAAGCAGGTGCGCGAAACTCGTCAGTTGTCAGCAAATGTCAAGAAGAAGTATACGACCACGTCGAAATCAGCAAAATCCCGACATTGCGGACACTTTGAAGCCAACGATGCCGAAATAGAGTGATCGAGACAGGAAGACGTTAGGAGAGAATAATCGAGTGAAAAGGAGGCTGATCCAGAGACTAACCCCCGCATTCACAAACGCCCCTCGACTCGACTTCCACCCTTTACTTGACAGAGTTGAGCACTGCGCCACCGCTCGACTGAAAATGACGCTGCGTTACTCAAGAATCGCAGCAGATTATCGCTGATATGCAGTGACTTGCCGTGCTAGAGACGGCGCTTTCATCGGCTTTCTCAAGTGACGGTGAAGTGTTGAGTGAAGGGACGTTCTAGAACGGGGGTAAGCCGGCCTAAGCTCTCTTAGTCCGAGGTCGAAGCCACGCCTTCTTACAACGAAAGCTGGTATAAAATCGCAACTCGAGTCTCGCACAGCGCCGTACTGTCCGCCGCTGCCGCCTCCGCCACCATGTCCGTAACCACAGAGAACGAAATTAGAAAAAGAACACCTAGCACCAATGACACAGTGGGGCTCGACTCCAGATCCGCTGGGTGACAGCCCAGTATCTACAACTGAGCCCGCTGGTGCGTGAAACCCGTTGGCAAACTTGCCTTACGCAGGCTTGATATCGGGAAAGCATTGCGTTAATACGACTTGTAAAGCGTTATAAAACAGGAAAAACAACAACCATTCGCCGTACCGATGCGAATAGCGTAATGAGTGTGTTGCCCAAAGTTCCAACACATTACAAAGCTTGTTCTTGTTCCATTATTAACTGTGGTGCATGCCCACTTCAGGCCTAATTCCTAATCGTCGTCACCACTGCGTAAACCATTGGCACAAAATCCCTTGCAAGTGTTTAGCGGATACCACGCTTCTCAGAAGAATGACGAATATTTGTAGCGAATGCTGCCCTACTTCCCAAACTTTTTTTATTAATAGACCGTATGGTATCAAGCAAGTGTGCTTGCAGCAGTTTGCCCATTGAGTGTTTAGAAAAGGCTCTGAAAGGCCGCTCTTCTAGCTTTTCTGTGACAGTGCTGCGCCCTTACCACGCAGACCTGATGTTTTTTTTTTTTTTTTTCTGAACTTTCAAAACAGTTTGGAAAAAGAAAGCCAGGCGAGCTACGAGTCCGGGGACCTTGAGAGCTCATAGGCGGTCAGGTGGTATTCTACACGCTAATAACGTGCCACACAACCTCTACTCAGCCCTCTTGAGACACGAATTACGAGCTATTGTCAGAAAGTTCGTGTGGCATAATTCTAAGGCACCCAGTATTACATTAAAAAAGGAATCACAATCATGCATTTCGAAATAAACAAAGGATTAAGTACATCGTAAGAATATACAGAATGATGTCCCGTAGTCACAAACTGAAATGAGTCGTCTTGTGCATGATAACGTGGTGAATAATATATACAAAATGGCAATATGGAGGCTAAATAGTCACATAAGGTAATATAATACGAAAAAGTAAATCAACGAACAGCATTAACAAATCATTCAAAAAAAGAAGAAAAGTAATGTGGCTAAGGTACCTCTGAACAATCTCGTGCCCTAGCAGCGTTCCACACATTAGCACCGCCGCATTTAAAACTCCTCAAATTAGTGTGGGTCCCAGGTCACTGCGGCTTACAAACTAATGAATTGGCAGATGCTTTGGCACGAGCATCACTCGATGGACCAGTAATTCAGTACTTCCCGAGTTAAAATACTTATCAGGGGTTTGATATAGGAAGTTCGCTATTTTTACAGATAGTTTAGAAAATATCACACAATGAACAGATTATCAGCACCTCAAATTTCCATGGAAAGCCCAGTAGAGTCCGTCAAAAAACTTCAAATTATAATCTGCAGATTCCGGTGCCGTGGTCCCCCCAATTAAATTTTTATTTACACAGAGCTGGTCTGACACTTTCCCCCCTTTGTCCGTTCTGCGAAGAATCTGAAACTATTGAACATTATTTTGCTCATGTCGTAACTATGCATTAAGTAGGAAACGACTTTTAGATATTCCATTTGCGAAGCTTGGTTTAAATTTAACCACAGAAAATGTTTTAAGTTTGGTGCCTCTGTTTTGGAAAATTGCCACAGAGATGCATTCGATGCGGTTGATAATTTTATTCAAGACTCTAAACGTTTTTCAACATAAAGCCCACGCTACAGATACCCCCTAAAAAAACGGGTCGAAAAGTAATTTTCAATTCTGATAAATCCGTGATATACCAAATTAATCGGGTTTGGCAAAACCAGCTGTCTGTTCGACTCCTAAAATCAAGTTGTAGCTATTAGTGTCTACTTTGTTGTTGATTCTTTTTTCTGACTATCTAATCTTGGTTTTCTTTCTTTTTTTTTTTAACATACTGTATTCAATATGAACTCCCCCAACCCTTTTTTTTTTCGTTGTAAGCAATAATGCAGTTATCGTCCATATGAGACTATATTGTTCTCTTGGCCAATCCCCAGAGTGGGTAGAGCCATGGATTAAAGGATACAAACAAACAAACTAAGTTATTAAGAGTAAGAAGAGTAGGGCGCGAAACATATTCAAAAATTAAATGAAATTGCAGTGCAAAGGGATATGATGTAGAAAAGAAGAAATGCAGCCGAGTTTTGATGAGAACGCGTATACCATAGGTCATTTTCTTTTAACGCTAGAGACGTGTAGATGAAATTTAATGTGGCGATCAAGATCGACATTAAAATCGTAAATTGTTAGCTGAAGAGCTAGTTTGATTGTTGATGAAATGTTTCAGTAAGAGTGAATGAATGCTGATGTGAGGAAAGATGACTATTTGGCCTTATTATGATATATTTGAAGTTATTTTCACAAAGCCTACACAATTTCAAAAATCTTCATTTAGGTAATTATAGCGTAGATAGGCAAGTGACTAGAAATAATATCATCGGGTCGTCAGCATATAAATACAGTTAGATGAAAAAGGGCAAGGCGGCAAGTCATATAATATAAAATAAGAAGAGTAGGGGACCTAAAATTGGACCCCTTTGGTACACGTGTGTTAGCCACTGCTTATTTAGAATAAAAAACAGCTATATCGACAGTTTGTTCTATCCTGTAAATGACTGCGGATAAGGAGCAAAGGTGGACTGGTTATTCTAATAGCTTCGAGTTTTGCGAAAATAATAGAGAGAATAATAGTGTAAATGCTTCGGAGTGGTCTATAAATATGACTGCTCCCAAATTCACTTGGATGAATTGCCTTTTTTGAGGTAACCGGTAAGTGTTATGTGAAGGTATATTTGTTTGAAAGCCGGAGAGAAAGCCGAACTGATTGGCGGAAAGAATATAGCTTTTATTTAAATTACTCGTGATTTATTTTTGGATTATTTTGAGTATTTTGCTCGAAAATAGAAGAACGCAAATGGGTCTATAATTCTGTTATTGTGTCTCATCACCTTTTTCGGAAACAGGGATGAAGCTACCACGTTTTATTTCACGAGGAAAAACACCAGATTTAAAAGCGAGGTTGATGACAGATGAAAGAACGTGAGCAATGTGTTCTACAATCATCTAATTATGGTTAGCTTTCATATTATCAAGTCCAGGACTCGTGGCGTTAACTGCCTTGATTGTCGAAAAAACTTCATCTGTAGTGGTCGGGAAAAGAAAAAAAAAGCAATGAGGAAGCAGAATCAATGGCACCATTAAAGAAGGCATCACATATTTCATTAGAGATATCTGCCGAATACGACATACTATGTTGTCAAACACAATTCTTGATGTAGTGCTCTGGTTGCTACGGTTAAGGTACGTGTTTATTACCAATTTTTTTAGCAGTACGCGGTCGCCTACGTCGGAGCCAGGCGTGCCGCAGTGCCGCCGCCGGAGTCATTGCGGCTCGCGGGGTCCCACTCCAAGCACCGCTTGAGGAAGTCCACGAACATTGGGTCGTCGCAACCTTTGAGGGCGCTTGACCAGTCCTTGGAGCCCGGAGGACCACGCAGCTTTCCGCGTCTAGACCGTCCCGCGCCTAGAAGTACGGCGCCGAAGGGTAGCGTAGTGACGGTGCAGTAGCGCGGGTAGCCCTTGGAGCTGATGAAGTTCTTGGCCCGCTTGGCCTGGTCGAGTAACTTCTGAGGCGGTGGGCCTAGCAACTCCATGATGCAGGCCAGCTGATCGGCCTCGTCCTCTCCGGGCAGGAGTGGGTACCCCGTGAGTAGTTCGGCTAGGATGCAGCCAAGACTCCACATGTCGATGGGCATGCCATACTTTGCACCCAGTATCACCTCCGGCGCTCGGTAAAAGCGCGACTGGATGTAGGAGTAGACGCATTGGTGTTCGAAACACGACGACCCGAAGTCTATGACCTTGATGCCCAATCGACCCTGCTGTTTGAGCAGCACGTTCTCGGGTTTCAGGTCGCAGTGTATGATGTGACTGCGGTGCAGCGCGTCCAGGCACTGCAGGAGCGAGTGGGTGAACTTGCGCACCATCTGCAGGGAGAAGCCCTTGAACTTGTTCTTCTTCATCAGCTCGTACAGGTTGATGGACAACAGCTCGAATGTGATGCACGTGTGGTTGCGGAAGGTGAAGTGTTCCAGCATGTGGATCAGGTTGAACGTGTTGTCGCGGTCCTGACGACGCAGGAAATCCAGTATGCGAATCTCCTCCTGCGCCTGCCGGTGGAATCGCTTCTCGTTGCGAACCATCTTGAGGGCCACGTGTTGGTGCTCCTTGTGGTCGTACGCTTTGACGACCTGGCCGAAGGAGCCCTTGCCTATCACCTTGAGCATCTCGAAGCGGTACGCGATGTGGTCGTGGGGAACGTGGAGGTATGAACCTTCATCGTCGTCGTAGCCGCAGTTGTTCGGGGTTTCTGGCGCTCCCTGGCGCTTCTTGGCGTTGGCGCCTATGAAGTAGATCTGCGGGTAGTTGATGATCTCGTGGCGTTCGTACGGGCTCAGCTTGTGCATGTACATCTGCATCACCTGCTCCGGCGTGGCCACCAACGTTTTCCCCGCGCCGCCGCCGCCGCTTCCGAAAACGGCGACCGCTTTGCTGTCGGGCGAGTCGCCGTTCTGGTTCACGTCGAAGAGCTTGTGAACGCTCGACTGGAACTTGAAGCCCGCGATGGTCTGGCTCTTCATGGGTGGCAGCAGCAGACTGCGCCCGTTCGCCGAAGAGTTGTTGTTGTTGGCGGCGTTTTTTTCGATGTAGCCGGCCTCTGACGAAGGCGCCGAGCCATTCATGTTGGCGATCAGGGACCGCGTCCGCGACAGGGGCATCGCTGTGCACTCCCGGGAACTCATAACTGCCGCTTGCGGCCGCCGCCAACCACCGCCGCCTGCTCCACCACCGCGCCACCGAACAAGAGACCCAGGCTTAGCGCGGACATGGAAGCTCGGCCGCTTCGGCTGCGCTACACTGGGCCACCATTATCGCCCCGGCCGCTGCCGCTGTGGCTGACCCCTGTTGCTAGGATGGATGGATGGATGGATGGATGGATGGATGGATGGATGGATGGATGGATGGATGGATGGATGGATGGATGGATGGATGGATGGATGGATGGATGGATGGATGGATGGATGGATGGATGGACGGACGGACGGACGGACGGACGGACGGACGGACGGATGGATGGATGGATGGATGGATGGATGGATGGATGGATGGATGGATGGATGGATGGATGGATGGATGGATGGATGGATGGATATGGCTGTACCCTTTAGATCGGGTGGTGGCTAGCGCCACCAAGCCGTAATACCTAATGAACCAAAAGCTGGATTTTTTTTCCCTTAAATAGTCAGGTTGAGGATTTGTACTTTGCAGCGAAGTGTTCAATTTTCACTCGTGCCTTGACTTTAGCCACCAATCAGATAACCTCCTTCTAGTTAATTCTACCCGCTTAGAGTCTATTTTTCCCTCACTGTCCCTAAACTCCAGTGCTTTGAAAAACTCTGCGCCATCAACCTGAACTGCAGGGTGAAGCCCTTTACAGAAGATCATGATGATGATGAACCTTCAACTTTGCTGGCACTCGCCCACAAAGGGGATCGGCCAAGAACCGGTCGGCAGGATCATCAAGTGTGCTAAGTTAGGCATTCAGGTAGTCTAGTAGCCGTAAATAATAATGAGCTTTTATCATCACAGTTCTCCACGGTTTCGCATTAGTTCTCCACCTGCTAGCAGCTACACAGGGTGACTTTTTGTTCTCTTCCCACCGCCACATCCATGTCATCAAGGAGGCTCTTCAATTACTTCGGGACAATAGACATCTGCCAGGAGAGGCTGCTCGACACGTCGTCATCCATGGACGCATCTCTTCTCTCCTTCTCCCATGTTTACTTCGTTCTCCCCATTCCCTTTGCTGATGCTGAAACGTGCTTAAGAGATGGCGTCTTTCCCTCTACTCAACCTCTTCTCATCCTCGTTCAACCGCGCGCACTATGACATAGTTGTGGCACATAGTAGCCGCCGCGTCTTCTTTTACTGCTGTTCGCGGTTGTTTTTTGAAAGATGCTTTAACTAGAGGACTTGTTTATTCCTCTGTGTCCAGAAAAATCAAGGTTGTCCTGTTAAATTAATAACCACCTGAAACCCCGCTCGAAAACGAACGTTGAGCTTAAATATTGTTCATATAGGCGCAGATCCTGGATATATGCATATAGAGGCGCTGTAAAATACTATAATAGGCCCTCTTACCCTCTCATTTACGCTAATATATCAAAAAGGCACGATATGTACTCAAGGAGACATAGGCGATCACCCAAAATGCAGGTTTCTAGGGATCACGTTATCAACGTTGGCGAGGTTAAGCCAGGGAAGCCAAGACCTTTCAACTCCCTTGCGCATTGGTTTCTACGACGTTACGTCAGTTATAGGAGCGCATAACTGTTTATGCACGGGCTATAAAGGCAAATCATTATCAACACCCTTTGAAACAACATTCCCAATTCCAGCCTCCCAGGATATTAAATCGTGTGTGTATCCGGGCGCAATACTTTTTAAGCACCTTTTCATATTCTATATTTAAGTTAACCATCATAACTTACGTCTATTTTTTCTGCTAGATGAACAACGTTTTGTTATACCACACCTGTGAGGTCCTTATTTTTTATACTTCTGTTCTTTACCGGTCAACTTATACTGCTCTTCACTTGTGACCCTCACTTCTGTTTCCCACCCAATTGCTTTATTGTAATATACAAGGTCATCCTAAGTCCCGCTAGCGTGCCAGAGCAGAGCATGGCTACGCGGATTCTAATCACGCCTTCGCAAAAAAAGCCAGGATATCTGTGTTACTCTTTCTTTTTATCTCTACTCGTTTTGTAGCGCAGAAGACTTATTGCACTGCACGCGGTACAAATCCATACGTGTTCTGTGAGCCAAGCATTGGATGAAGAGAAAGAAGACGAGGAAGAAGAGAACAGCGTGCCGGTTCATCGCACTGATAATTTAATTTCTTTTCACTCGTAACGAACCGAGGCCGGGCTCATAAATCTTAGCTGTTGATATACAGGTGCATTTACACATACTTAGCCGAGGTGTTCACTTCCACGGTGGTGCAGTGGTTACGGTGATCGGCTGTCCACCCAAAAGATCCCACTAGGTCACGTCCGCAATGACAGAGGCTGAATTCCGGCAACCCGTTTACTTGTATTTATGCGTATGGTAAAATATCACGTAGCAGAAATTTCCGTAGCCCTATAATCTCGCTTAAAATTATATCGTCATTTGACACACAAACACACCGAAATTATTCTTTTTCTTGTGATGGGCCTACCTCTGCATCTGAAATAAGTAATTCTAATTGAAACCGATCGAAGTATTCTCGTGAATACGCTAAAAATACCTCTATTATTACGCGTTGGTCAAATGCTACACATTGAATTGTGAACAAATTGAATTACTACACCGAGACATAGCGTACATGTCCGTAATGCTACACCTATATAAGATAAATATCGAATTCTACATCAAAACCGTCTGGTCTTCCTCCAAGTCGACCTAAGATTTGCGCTCTCGCGAAACTTGGGCTCGCGCCGAGAGTACAGGTTTTTATCACCGTAAAAGGACAGTACGCCAAGCGAGTGCGGTACTTCTTAATCTTCAGTTTGATGAACAAGCAGTTGCTCTTGGTGCTTATGTAGTGGCACTTTCTCCTCTGGTTTACGTTGACATCCTTGGCTTCTCGTAGCTGTCCATTGATGTTGTCACCCACAACGTTGTTGTTGCAGCCAGAGCTGGCTGTACCATTGGTGTTGCTCCAGCTGGATTCCATCGGCGCACCGTTGGACTGGCCTCCCATGCCTTAGCCTGATGAATCTGTTGTGTGGCTTTTCCAACCGTTGCTTGACTGGTAAATACCTGGCAACCTAGCAGCTGGTGCTTCTCCACCCATCACAGTATTGTCAACCCGCGGCCTCGGCAAGGGCGAAAGCCACGGCAGTGTACCCTGTTTAAGCGGCGGCCAATTAACCTCCTGCAATGGTCAGTCTCCGTACCACCGTCCTATTCAGCGAGAATGTCCAGAAGCTTCTGGCGCTTCTTAAACTGGGTCACCTGGTACATCTTCTCCTAGACGTCGGAGTTGCCCCGCCCAGATTGCCCACTCATAGAATGACTGAGTTGTGTATACCATCAATCCAGAGCATCACCAATCAGTTTATCTTCGTGCTGAGGCAGGGGTACTTGCTTTTCTGTGATACGCCGACCTCGTTGTGCTTCTCAGAGAAGATCTTGTTGTCGCAGTGGTACACGTTACCAGCTACGGTAAATGCTTGCGACGAAGTTGGCAGCCAACTGGATTAGTGAGGTCAGCTCTCCTTGTGTAAGCCGCCACGCAATATGCCACTGGAGTGTCCGTTGGATCTGCGGAATCCCCATTTCGTCGTACTGCCACCTGTTTCTGCCGCAGATACCGCTACCGCATCCTTGCGCCGTGGCACCAGTGGGGGATGGCAGTAGAGGTTCGAGTGAGGCCTCCGTCGGGTCCATATAACTGGCGCACAGTGCCTCCGAAAGGCTCCAACTCCATGGTGGAGCGTGGCCCAGGCTGGCTGGTTCGAGGTGGGGCGCTGTACCACGTGTGCTATTGGGAGATCTGACGTGGGGCGTTCACCGCCATTCAGGTTTCCATGGCCGCAGACAAACCTCGTTTAGTCGGGACTTACGGCAGCCTAGAGTTCGTTGATGCCCAAATAGATGACGGTTCCAAAGGTTCCCGCGAAAGATGTCGTCATCTTCAGTGCACAAAATCAAACTGTTGCTGTGCCATCGATGCCAAGACACGCGCTTGCGATAACTGATGATAATGATGATGCTCCATGAATCATTGGCACCTACCCACGTTGGGGGATCCGATATAGTGTACTAGAATATGGGGAAGTGTGTTCAGGCAGCCTCTCTCGCCATGCATCGCGGGACGCGGCGCACGTGGACAAAAAACCGTTTCTCAAGGCGGTGCTGCCAAAGCATGGGCTTGCAGGATTTTGAGCTCCTCGCCGCTCTGCCTTCTCGGGTGCTGTAGTGACCTGTTGCTTCTATATATATATATATATATATATATATATATATATATATATATATATATATATATATATATATATATATATATATATATATATATATATATATATATATATATATATATATATGAGACAGTTATGCCAAGGAATGTACAGGGGAAGTTATTAGAACCAATGGAATGTAAATAAGAAGAAAGAACAGTGGGTGAAAAAATAACCAGCCGTGGTTATTTTTTCAACCACTTTTCTTTCTTCTTATTTACACTCCATTGGTTCTAATAACTTCCCCTGTACATTCCTTGGCATTACTGTCTGTTAGATCTCATTAATATAGTGTTAAAACACGGAAAAACGAGCGAAATATATATATATATATATATATATATATATATATATATATATATATATATATATATATATATATATATATATATTTACATAGTGATTATTGGAGGAAGAAAAGTCACTTCTTTCTATCGCACAGTCGGTGACACTGCGTTGTGCCATTTGAGTCCTCGCTTCACCACGAGGCATAGGAGGTGTGCATTTTGCGCTTCTGCGAACGTGTCGCTATGATGTGACAATGCTTCTCCCCCTGACCTCCATTAAAAAAAAACTAGACGACGCACCTCCGCTCTCCAACGCGGGCGCTTGTGAAGCCAACGGAAGGTGCCTGTCCCGGAAGCTGGCGTCTTCTGGGTGCTTTAGACGCGTAATTCAAATGTTTTCTGATGACAGCTTCATTAATTATATTTTCTTTCGTTTTTTAGAAGTGAAGCCCCTTACGTCGTAAGTCATATGTCCCGTGTCATCGTAGTAGCCAGTTGCAGTGCATTGCATACCCATTAAAACAGTGTCACAGCATATCCACGGAGTGAATGATGATTAGTGGGGCGAAGCATCCATC